CCCGACCCCACCCCCACCCCCACCTGATGCTGAGAGGCTGGGCCTCGCCTCCCCAAGGTGCTGGGCTGCAGGGCATGTCCCCCGGAGTCTCTCCACCTGAGCCGGCACTCCGGTGTCTGATGGCGCTGATTAGGCCGCTGTTTCTGAGCTGGAAGCGGCAGGCGGGCCGGGCAGCGGGGTGTCAGGCAGAGGCACCCCCTCAGCTGCAGCCACGGCTGCTGGCTCCCTGGGGCAAGGGCGTCCGCAAGGACACCTCCTCAAGCTCGTCTCCCGGCTCCGCTGGGTCAGAAGCCAGATCCGTTCCTGGAAAATACTGCCAAGGAGTCGACGGGCCTTGGAGAAACCGGCCATTCCCGGCGCTCCGGCTAGAGTCCTGCTGTCAGCTGGAAACAGAGGGAAGCAGATCACCGGGAAGCGCCCTCGCCCTCGGCCCCCCTCACCTCGGCCCCTGGGCCCGGAGGAACACCTGACCCCGATCCGGAAACACCCGAAGCGGTGCTTTAGCTTAAGGCAGTGGTTCTCAACCTGGGCTGCACATTAGAATCACCTGGGAACCTTTCTAAAATCCTGATTTCTGGGCCTCACCCCCGGAAATTCTGTTTCTTTGTTACTTACGTTGTGGCCCCAGCCCACAACAAAGAGACAGGGACCCGAACCTGGACCCCTCCCCCGACCAGGACCCTAATCCGGATCCGGACTCCAACCCGGATCCCGACCCCTGAGGGCGTGGCTGTGGGCCCAGGGGATCCTAATGTGCAGCCAAGGTTGAGAACCACTGGCTTAATGCTTCCGATTGGACTGTGTTCCTCCCCAAACAAAGAGGTGCCCTCTGAACCCCAGGACCTCCGCTCGCGCCCTTATCCGGAAAGGTCACTGCAGACGGGATGGGGTCACGCTGGAGGAGGCCGGAGGTGACGGGATCCTTATGAACAGCGGGGAAGGCAGACGCAGAGGGGGCGGCCTGGTGACCCCCCAGGGGTGCGGCGGGCCAGGAGGAGGGAGCAGCCCAAGGGGAACAGCCCCGCCCCCCAGGCCGGTGTGGCCTGTTACAGGCTCTGAGGACAAGCTAGGGCTCCAGGCTCTGAGGCTCGGGAAACCGGGAAGTTGGCATCATTTTCCCAGAAGCTTATAAACAAAAAGCACAAACACAACAGCCACCAGCACTGGACACACACCGTCCGGCTTCGGGACCCCTGGGCCCCGGGCCCTTCTGGAGATTTCCGGCCGCGCTGGTCTGGGTCCGGCACCGGCCCGGTCGTCCCTGTG